TGTAAGAGAGATGCTCCAGTCCCTTAGTCAACTTCATAGCTCTCCACTGGACCTACTCCAGAAGTACCACGTCTCTCTTGTACTGAGGAGCCCAGAACTGGTCACAGAACTCTAGATATGACCTCACCAGGGCTGAGCAGAGGGGCAGGATCACCTCCCTTGACCTTCTGGCAATGGTCTTCCTAATGCATCCCAGGATTCCGTTGGCCAAGGGCACACTGCTGCCTCATGGGCAGTTGGTTGTCCACCAGGACATCCGGGTCCTTCTCTGCAGCACTGCTTTCCAGCAGGTCAGTCCCCAACCTGTACCTGTGCTTGGAGTTATTCCTCCTCAGGTGCTCAGGACCCTGCATTTGGCCTTGCTGAATTTCAGAATGTTCTTCTCTGCCCTTCTCTCCAACCTGTTGAAGTCCTTCTGAAGAGCTATTTGCCCTCTGAGTTATTGGCCACTCCTCCCAGTTTTGTATCATCAGTGAACTTGCTGAGGAGGCTCGTTATTCCCTCATCCAAGTCACTGATGGACAAGTTAAACAATACTGGGCCCCATATAGAACCCTGGGGGACACCACTAGTGACAGACCTCCAGCTAGTCTCTGTGCCACTGATCACGACCCTCTGGGATCTGCCATTCAGCCAGTAATGAATTCATGACTTCCAGGTCAAGCTGGAAGTGATAAATTCTCCAGCCCAGACTCCCAGATGTTTCACAGAAGAGTGAGCTTTGTCTGGCATTGCAACGATCTGATAAGTTTTACAAGTGCTGTTTTAAAGTCAGAAAACTGGACTGAAGGGTTCAGAGTGACCCAGGGTTGTGTCCCACAGAATCTGAATATATTTTACAGCACACAGCATATGCCAGAATCTTTTCCTATATTGCACATTTCTGATGTAAGATATAAAGGGATGGATGGTGTTATTCATGTGGAAGCAGAGCCTGAAGAGAACCTGTTCCAGAAGCAATCACCTCTAAGCATTTGCTAAGTTTCAGAATCTCTGTTCCTTGAAGAGGAGCAAACACCGATCCTGAGAGTGGTGCCCGCCTCACACAGAGCAGACAGGAAAAGGTACAGTTTTAGCTCACTTTCCCACCAGCTCACTCATCTGGAAGCAGGAAGAAAATGAGACAGTCACAGACCTCCCAATTCTTTTTGGCACATTGCCCTTATTTTCATTGGCATGCATGCCAAAAAATTCCACACAACAATTCTACCGATACAAGATTATGCCAGCCTCGTATTGCAGTAAAAACCTTTAGAGACATATACCAAATGCTAGTCAGGGAAACATTTGTTGGTGCTGCTACATAGACTTAGCCTTTCTCTAAGTACAGTACTTCAGATACTTCAGACCCTTTGGATCCATCTCCTCATCAGCTGCATCTTAGAGCCTGCATTTATCTCAGAGGTAATTGCAATTCTGTGTATTTGGTAGCAACAAAGTTATTCTTGAACATTAAAACCAGTTTTGATCTTGAGAAAATATTTTCCAAAGGCAAGGTCCCTTGAGGCAAAAGAAATAGTTTGATCTGTTTTCTAAAGTTAAATTTTAAGTTAAATTTTTCAGCTATTTCAGCACATACTTTGAACTCTGAAAATACACAAAATAGAAATAATTTTTGAGAGAGAAAACTAGATTTTGATTGCCTGACTTTTTCTGGTCTCCTTAGTGTCCCTTCTACAAGGATGTCTAGTTGCTTCTACCTGCTAGCATGAAAAAAGCAGAAAAAACACTATCAAATGCACAGCACAATTTAAAGATTCACTTACTGCCCCAAGAAATCTGTAGATGACAAAGTAGTAGGAGGTAAACTTGGTTCACCTGCTGATTAAAGCTCAAAGACAAACAGGCTGGTAAGTTCAGTCTTCATAGCAAGACACTGCTGAACTCAAAAAAAAGTTCAAAATGTTCCAATTCTCTTTTGAACTATCTACTGAACTTTAACTTCTCCCCCATGCTGAACTGATTCTAAACAGAGGGTTCAAAGAGTGTAACCACTGAACCAAGTATTGCTATACCTAGAATGTTTCTCAACAGGCATGACAGATTTGTTAAACTTACTAAATGTTATCTTCCTCATTATGTACCAGACAAAGGTCAAAGCTGCTGAGTTTCCCTGTAACCGCACAGGAAAACACTACAGGTATCCTTTCTATTTTAGTTAATGTATAAAAAAAGAGCTTGAATTTTCTTCATGGCAAGTATTGTATAGCTAAAATATACACTGAATCAGACAGCAAAATATAAGCACTGAACACTTAAAATATTTTGTAATTTATGGGGATATAGCAATAGAGTTACATCAGTGTGCTGATGTAACTTTCTCAGTTACAAAAAAAAACAAAACAAAAAAAAAAAATGCAACCTGACAGATCAACAAATTTGTCTGTTCTTTAAAACTTCCTCTTGATTAGCAATGTTTTTGGATACTAAAAGCACTTTCTTTTCCTTTCAAGCATTTTTCTGGCATTATTTTACTTGCACACTTAATGCACAAACTTTTGGGGCGGGGAATCATGTGCTTTTCTCCAACCAATAACAGTAAATGCACCTGCTCTTTTATTTCAAATTTGATACACATATAAAACGTTGATTAGCAATCTTCATCTACTGAAATGACTCCCAATCAAAGCCTTTTTCAAAAACTTGTATGCAGCTAACACTGTCATATTTTCCTGCTTCATTGTCATACCTGTTAAGCCTAATGCAAAGTTCTATTAATAATAAAAAACAATGGCTATAGTTGAAGAGTGAGGATCTCTTTTTTTTTTTTTTTTGAAAATGAGAAACACCCTGTTGAATGTGCTCTGTTCTAAAGCTGAGGGCCAAAGGCAGAAGGAAGGATGGTGTGTTGCCCCTTCCCTCATAACTTATACACAGGGACCAAGTTATTCTTGAAAAATGTGAGTGTTTAATCATATTTGTTTTGTTTGTCTCTCCTGGAAGAAAGAAAACATAGATGCAAAATGCAGAATTTACCAAATGCTACCTGAACCTCTTGATTAGTTATCATAATCAGAAAATTATCACTAACATCTATAAACATACTTGTTGTCTCAAGTTTTATGGCCACACACATTTGCTGAAAGCACTTGCATTCAAAGTACCTTTATACCTAGACAGCTATCATCACTTGTCTTTGGAGCTTGGGCTTGTTGATTCATGTTGAGACTTCCTCTGTTCCAATTTTAATACAAAAAAAGATTGCATAAATGGCACTTGGGCAAGACTATGCAAAGCACTGACATCCATGTCACTTTAAATTTCACTTGACGTTTCCTTCAGCTTACACCACCCTTCTTTATTCAATTTCATAAACACTAAGTGCTCCCAGGAGACATTCCTCACTGCCAAATCACACACATCTCCCCCAGGTTAGAGTAACTGCTTCCAAATGCTGCAAAATGCTCTTCTCCTACCTCGTGTTGTGTGCTGATGTAACTTTCTCAGTTACAAAAAAAAAAAAACAAACCAAACCACACAAAAAAAAAAAAAAAAAAAACAAAAAAAAAAAAAACAAAAAAAAAAAAAAAAAAAAAAAAAAAAAAAAAAAAAAAAAAAAAAAAAAAAAAAAAAAAAAAAAAAAAAAAAAAAAAAAGGAGAGAGATAGCAATAACCATACAATAGCTGTTCCACTGCCTGGTCAGGAGCTAAAAGATCTCCATCCATCTGGGAAAGGTTAGAGGCAAAGTGATAGAGAAAGGGGAGGGTAAATATAGGTTTTTCATATCATAATGCATTTGCTTGTTAGTCACTGGACATCATGGGCACACCAAAGCAGCACACTCAGGAAGAAGGACATTTCACTTTATAAATGTAACATTTCTTTAGTAATAGACACTGATAAAGACAATAACAAGTAGCTCCATCACAATAGTTTTGTTGTTGTTAAGTTGCTTATAATAATAGCAATGTTGGTGCAATCTAAATCTACTAGATTTACTGTGAAAGCAAAACAACAAATCTGACAATTGTGCATGATTCTGTTTTTCTTGTGCTAATTTTAAGAAGGAAGTAATTAAGAACATTCAGTGAATACTAGTATCTAAAGCCTTCTAATTCCATATAATTAACCTCCTTGAAATGAAATGGGTAGACTGTACACAAAGTGAAATTAATAATTTCCCTTTAATTTTTACTGTCCTCAAATGTAACTGTTAGAGATACTCCACAAAACAAAGATATTGTGGTCAGTAATAGGAAATTACAGAATAGAAAGAAGAAGAGTTTGTTTGTGTCTTCTTTTCTTTTAGGTTGGCTAGGACTGTGTTTTAGAACCTGAGGGAAGACAGATTCTGCTCATAATTCATCAGTTTTCCAACTTCTATAAGAATTCTCTTGGCTTTTTAGAAGAGGATTTGTTATGCAGTGGTACAATAAACTATGCAGAAAGTAGTGCTAGCTAGTTTTGAAAAAAAACCCTATAAATTCTGGCATGTCTTGATTAGTTCTTTGAATTAATCTATATATACTAAATCTTTGGTATAGTTCAACTGCAATTTAACAGTTCAAACTTTAGATTGTTTTTAAAAGTAGACATTTTCCAAGTAATTAGAAGACACTAAAAATAAAAGGTTTGTAAAATCTGGGTAATTTGAATGAAAGTAATCATGTACATACGATCCCTTATTACCTGGAAAGAGGTTATAAAAACTGAAAAGTCCAAATGAGAAAGAGAGCAAAGGAGGAGGGGGAAAGTGATTATCTCATGATTGCATCACTTCAGAATAGAGAATGAAGCGCCATGATCAATAAACTTCATTGCTATCAAGTCTCAGCAAGACAAGGAGAGTTTAGAATGAGCCGTGGAATGCAAAAGCTTCAGGCAGAGAAGGGAGTCTTGCAGTGAAGAAAAGTCTTCTGAGTCAAAAGGAGCTGTGGTGTTTTACTGAGAGTTTAGTGAATTATTAACACGCTGGTCTGCTGCTTAAAAATATATTATCTATCTATACTGGTTGAAGGTGTGTAGTCTGCAGCTGCAAAAGAGGTAGCTCTTATCTACTCAAACCTGTGGGCATGAGATGGAAAGACTGGGTAATCTGCCAAAGGGGAAAAGAGATTAAAATGCAAATAGCCAAGTTACGGAATATAGAAAAATCAAGATATGGCATGCTCTGATTTTTTTGTTTTCACAGTTTAAAGGTGAGAACTAATAGACTTGAATCTCTATGTTAAATCTGAGGAAGAGTGTCCAAAGAAGAGCAATGAAGCTGGTTAAAGGTCCTGAGAACAACTCTGGTGAGGAGCAGGTAAGGGAGCTGTTCAGTCTGGAGTAAAGGAGGCTCAGGGAAGATCTTATCACTCCGGATAACTGCCTGAAAGGAGGATGTGGCAAGGTGGGTGTAGGCCTCTTTTTCCAAAGAACAAATGACAGCATGTGAGAGGAAACAGCCTCAAATTGCACCAGGAGAGGTTTAGACCAGATCTTAGGAAAAATTTCTTCACTGGTTGTCAAGCACTGTAACAGGCTGCCCAGGGAAATAAGTGGCTGAGTTGCTGTCCCTGGAGGTATTTCAAAGACCCATTGGTATGGTGATTCAGGACATGTTTTAGTGGAGGAGTTGGCAGTGTTAGGTTTATGGTTGGACTCATGATCTTTTCCATTCTAAATGATTCTCTCATTCTAAGAGGACTAGAAGTAAATTGTATTAATTAACAGTTGGTGAGCAATGGTTTTTGCAGATGCTAACACAGGATGCTAATTCCCCAAAGTATACCTTTCAGGGGCTTGTGAAGAGAACTTTGTTTTCTAGCCATAGCAGCATAAAGATTAGAGGTCACATTGTTTGTGTGTGTATGTGGTATCATAATCATAGTATGTGGTGGTATTTGAGTATTATAATCTGAGTCCATTTCTCCATCAAGCACTTGGAGCATGGGGGGAAAGTATGCCTTTTTCCCTCCTAAATAAAAGGCCTTTGTACCATAGTGCAAACAGCTTCCTAAATATTTCACGTAAAACTGTAGCTATCAGTGAGGTTATACTCATGCTAGTGAAAGAAATAGAGGAGAAAGCCTAACAATTCGGTATGAACACAACTGTCATAACTAACAGGACAATGGGGAGCCCAGATGAAACCAGCTGGTGATATTTGGAAAGCCCCTGGAGAACACTGTCTAGGGAAATTGCTAAACTGGAACACGGGAGCAGTTTGAGCTCTGCCGTCCCTTTTTCTGACAGAGGTTTGTAGGTCTGAAATCCTGCCAGCTAGAACAAAATTCTTTCCTAAAACTTGCTCGTTCCAACCCTTTCTGCGCCTTTCTCGCAGAAACCAGAGAGGTGCAGCCGGGCGGGCAGAAGGAGACCAAGCGGAGCTCTGAGTCAGGAACTCCCCCCAGCACGCAGCGGGACTTACCATGCCGGGCAGTGCGAGGTCTGAGAGCGGCGGATGCTCAAGGGGGTGGCAGCGCTGGGTGACCCGAGGCCGGACCCCAGGATGCCGCCCACACCCACGGCACCGGAGAAGCGGCTCCGCCCGCGGGCTGAGTGGCTCCGGAGCGAGGAGCGCGGGGCGCGGAGCATCCCGGCGAGGCTCAGGCTCCAGAACATCCCTGACCTGCCCTGCCCTGCAGAACCTAGCGCAGTCCGTCCGCATGCCCTGTTCGGGCGGTAATCCCGCCTCTCCGGTCCAGCGGCAGCTCGGCCGGTCCCGGGCTACAGCCCAGGCTGCCTCCAAGCTTAACCACTTTAAACAGCTCGTCTGCATCGTGAGCACCGGGTCCAGTAACTCTTCTAATCTAATCTAATCTAATCTAATCTAATCTAATCTAATCTAATCTAATCTAATCTAGCAATCTGATCTAATTGCCTTTTTCCGTGTAGTCTTCTGTAGTAAAATTCTAAGTGTTCACCAGGCAAACTGAAACGTAAACTCATAAAGCTACTCACAAAGCGTTTATCTGAAACTATGTTGTCCATGGATTGCTAACACCTGTCATATGCTATACTCTGTGCTTGTGCAACATTCCCTTTTTGAGGGATCTGGTTGCATAGCCATCCGGATTGCCAATACATATTTGTCATGATTAAAAGTGAGCCAAATTTTACAGGTCATTGTGAAGTAAAAGATACATTAAAATGAAAGGAAATACATTGTTAATGAAGATGTGGAACTAGATCTATTATTTGCAGAAAAGCCTAAGTATTCATTTCTTCACATTATCTAGATGTCTGTAGTTTCTTTATGTGTAACTGCTACCTATTTACTTATTCAAGGATGTTTGAACATGAATGTAATATGAAATGGACTTATAGCTGAGATGGGTCAGTGAATACTTGGAGTCTGCTACTATTTTCTCATTAGGTATGACAAAAATGTAGACGAGAGTCTGGATTCTCTCATGACAGATATTTAAGCTGAAAATTCTGCACCAAGTAATTCTGGCGGTTCAGTCACGGACTTTTTTTTTTTCTCCTTTTCTGACTCTGTTGTACAAAGGTTACTACAAACTGTTGTAACCTGATCTGTTGGTCATTGGCTGTTCAAACTCAGTATTCTGTTCCTGCAAACTGGTATTACTGCTAACAGCTACAGGTATTAGGAATCCTAGTAAAAACTAGTGAGAAGGGTCTATTGGTTAGCACTCTTAAAATTAATTACTCCCAAAAATGTAGTCACTTTGGTGTGCTTGCCTCTTCACATATTCACCTAATGTATAGGTGAATAGCAAAAGGCCCAGACCTTCCTCCATAATAGATTTTTTTCTTCTAGGCCTATCCAGAGTGTATCAGACCTATATAGCAAGAAAAATTCATTCAGATTCCTTTTCATGTGGGAATCACCATATGATCTGGAAATTCTTGAAGAAATTAGCTACATGTTTCAAGATATGGGAGAGGATAAAAGAGCAGAAGACAGTCAGCTCTTGCTTTTCCACCATATGAAATTAGTTGCACAATGGCAGTGTTTGCATGGGAAGATATACCATAGGTTAAACTACTTCTGTACTCCCATCTATTTCATGTTAGAACTAAGCACAGTTCTAACATTACGCAAAACCATGAACAAAACCACTTTCATGTAATTTCAAAATTGCCATTTGAAAAAATGTCTACATTTTTTACAGTGCAAGCTTGGGAAAGAAATGAAACATTCACAACGCAAGGTTGTCTCCTAAAGATTTGTATAAGAATTAGAGTTTCTTAGAAATGTATATTTGTTTCAAAACAAGAAGGAATTATGCAATGTAGAAATTAGATTAAGTACAGTAAAAGCACTTGCAGGACAGGAAGAATGGATTGCATTCTCTCCAAATTAGGCCAGTTTTTGTATCCATATGGTAATTGTTATATATATTCTCACTATTTTGCTTACTTTTGTATAATAAAAGTGTTTTTACTTCAGCTGTTTCTTCAGCACATTTACATCTCTTATTAGACCATTCATGTGCTAATGCAGCCAAAAAATCTATTTTACGATACTCCAGAACATCTAGTTTATTTAGGTCTTTGTTACAATTATAGCATCTTCCCTATGGTCAGTGACACCTGAACCCTTGACTTCCAATAGCAAGGGCAATAGGATCAGAGATTCTGACTCTAGACCAGCACTCAGCATTTCAGTATATGGATCTGGTAGTTTATGATATGTAAAGTGCGTAGCTATTTTTCAAAGTCTTTGAAGTCTCCACTAGCTCAAGTTCTTCTAAATTCACAAAAGGTTGATTCACTACAGAAAATTTAAACACTTTATATATATCTTTCTTAAGAGGTCTTTCTTGCTTTAGAAGAAACCTTTATTTAGGATAATTCATTTTCAGAGTTTTGTTTTGCAGGCTTCGGAAGGCAAGTAAAGTAGTTAGAAAAAGATTTGATTTTCACAGATGTCACCACAGAAGGGGAAAGAAAGCAAGGCTTTCTGTTTGATAAAGTTCAGGAATCACTCGTATGATGAATCTAACACAGATCTTCTTTCATTGTCACTTTGGGTGTTCTATTTGTCATGTGTAATATATTTCTACAACAGACCTACCCATGTTAATGCAAGAGACTTTACAGTCATCCTACACTTGATGCTCCCCAACATATCCATATCTCATACATCTCTTAACTCAGCATTCTGGCCTCATTCCTCAGTGATAGGACAAGAGGAAACAGCCTCAAGTTTCCCCAGGGAGGTTTAGATTGGATAGCAGGAAAAAATTTTTCACTGAAAGGGTTGCCAAGCACTGGCACAGGTTGCCGAGGGAAGTGGCTGAGTCACCATCTGTAGTGGTATTTAAAAGATCTGTAGATGTGATAACTAGGACGTGGTTTAGTGATGGACTTGGAAGTGTTAGACTAACGGTGTGACTCAATGATCTTAAGGGTCTTTTCTATGATTCAGAATGCCTGAATAGCTTCAATACTCAAGAAATTTAGGCAGTGTTCGGTTGATTAAATTTAGGGTTGTACATTACCTATAAGTTTGATCCAGCTTTTAAACATTTCAAAGGAAGTGGGAGTTTGTTGGACTGATGTGATAAATAGTGTTACTGAAACTCTTATCTGAAGAGGTCAATTGACTAAATTATAATTGCCAGTTTGTAATGATGCTATTGTTCTTTATGCATGTCAGGTGGTTGATAGAATCAGCTAATTTTTTGCAGAAACCAGTTTGGTGCAGGTAACTCTACTTACCTTGATAATCCCAGCAACATAAAAAATACCACTTATCGCAGGCAAAACCTGATCAGTTCACAGATTTTGAATCATGTGATACAAAAGTAAAAACAGAAAATCTTTTTAATTTTAAAACCTTTTTTTCCCAGAATCTAGAATGAAACTGTTAGATTATGAAACAAGAAGTTCATATTCACAGAGACAGAGGTGCACAGAGGGACAGTGATCATCAGGAAAACTTTATAACTGAAGTAGAGAAACTGGAACATTCTGATCTGGCTTCTTCCAGGGCAGTCACAGAAGGACTCCATTTTCTGTGTGGTGAAAGCCATCAAGATCAACCCACCTTACAGACCAAGGAGGGTTACTGGTTATGGGATAAAGCTTGGTATTCTGCAAGACATTTTATAAGATGTTTTTAATATGAAACAGACAGGGAAAGGGGGAGATCAAGGTGTTTGGGAGGTAAAAGAGTGTAAGAAGATAGAGATGTAAGGGTATTTAAGGGACAGGTTGCATGTAAATGGATTGCTTGTCAGTATGCTCTTTTGGCCATGCCCTACAACTGGTCACTTCAGTCTTTTCTGTCTTCTGACCAAAATTCATTTCTATTTCCTGGGTGAAACGCTCTCTATTCCATAATGTTCTGAGACAGTGAGTATAGGACGATAGCAAGTTTTGTAATTATCACTTCGTTTCTTGGGACCTTATTGCAGATATTTGGTAGCAACAGTTTTAATTCTTTGCTACAACTTCTGTGAATTTTTTTCTCACAGTTTGAGTTGTCAATTCAGGATTATTTGTAACTACACTAACTGGCATTTCTAGTACTTTTACACTGAAGGAAATGTTAGTATTAAGTTGTCAGCTAAAACTGTTCATTATAGAGTTAAAATTTGAAAATATGTACGTGTGGGAAGGAATTAAGCAATGGTTATTACACAGGTGATATGTATCTTTTGCACATGTCTACATTATCTTCCTTTGAAGTCAGCTTTACCCATATCGGTCTTCATTGTTTCTATTTTGAACATTCACCTGCACATAATTAGCCCACATATGTTTTTTTCCCATTCTTAGCTACTTTCATCTTAGCAGAACGAAACCGATCCTTCTGTTTCAGACTTTCTTAATTTGTTTTCAGCCATGAATACAGCTATACTGCCTTTCAGGGTCCCTTTAATGCATAGACACGCGTGCTTCCTTAAAGCACTGCTGAATTCACCAATGGGTCTGAAAAGCTCCTTTCCTTATAAATAGTATATATTTATATACTATATATATAAATATATAAAATTATGAATACCTCCTATAGCTGGTAGGGTTTTGTGTTTATCACTTCACTTTTCTAAAACTTTACTGAAACTGATTAAATCATTTCTAAGACTGGTCCAATCTTTGCTTCTATGATGTTGGATTGCTCCAATCCAGGTGCATAATAATAATGAGATGCTATATTACATTTATGTAAAATTTAAATTATAGTGTTGTTATGATGACATCTCTATATATAACGACAAAATATGGGCCCTTCTGTTCTATAGATGGAAATACTGCCTTATGAAGTCAATGGGAATTCTATCATTCTCTACTGTGAGGCTAGAACTATACAAAAAGTATGATAGTTGTCAGAGAGAGCCCCAGGAGATCTTCTACAGCTTCTGTTGCTGCTTTTAATGATTTGTGTTTTATAAATTACATGAATTATCAGCACTCTATTGTCTTTTTTAACTATGATTTGGGAGCAGAAATGCATACTTCTCAGAAGTCTTGTATATGAGGAGTCTTTTCTAAATGTAATAAATAAATGATTCTCTAAATCAGTTGCCAAAGGAGTGTGATTCCACCAAAGTGATATAATTTATTGTCAAACTTCTCATTATGATATACTATTAAAACACCTCTATAAAGACATTAGCAGAACATCTTTACTCATTTAAAAATATATGCAGTAAGTTGACACCTTTTGGAAAGTACATACAAGTATGTCCAAACAACAGCACTCCAAGGAGTGACAGTTTAAGGCACGTGATTATTTTGCAACCTTTGTTACATAAATCTCTGAATAGACCATATATTTGTAAAACATAACTTCATATATTTCAATAACTAGGTTCACAGCTCAGAGAGACAGAATTCATCTCAATACAGGCAACACTTCTGGGTTTTTCTTTAACATTGCTAGGTCATAGTGCAGCATAATAAACATCATTAAAAAGAACCCTGTTCATGGAGTAAAATATATAAAAGAAACATCAAATATTTCTTCATTTCATCATTTTGCAACAAGGTAGGCCATAGTTACTTGTTCAATAAATATCAGCTGTGGAATGTTCCGCTTGCCTTTCTTTGACAGCAAATGTCACAAAAAAAATTTAGAGATAGTTTTAGGGAAGCAAGAAATTAACTGGGCTCCCCAGAGGTGAACTGATATTCCAATCTAATAAACAAGGGTAAAAAAACAAAAAAGCCAGATCCTCAGCAGCTCTGAATCTATGT